ATAACGTTAAGGGTGCAAGCTAGCGGTGTTCATCAGCTTCCATACTGCGTATACGCTGACGCGGAAGCGTAGCGCTGCGGCCCCGTGTGTTTGCTCCAGGATCCCGTTCAAAAAAGTCAAAGATTTGTTCTTCGACCTCTATTGTAAGTCTTGACCTTGCATTACCCCTTGCGTGTGACGGGGATAAAATCATTTGGCGGTTAAGCACCGATGGATTTAGTATACTTTGTCTTCGGGGTCGTGGTATACCTGCCGACTCGTACAAGCGCTGTGCACCATTTAGGCTTTCACCACTACGAATGTAACCGCACCATTTCGTAATACTCGCGATTGGAAAACATTGTTTGCACTGTTGACGTCATGGTAGAAAGATCGGTAAACACAAAGGATGCACCGACGCGACAAGACGCGGCCAACTGACCCATTAATTATTTAGTTGTTGGATTTGTACCGCCCGGGTTTCGCGCACGCCTCACCCCGTCGCACCGCGTCCCCCAATGCATTCTTTCTCTCACTGTTTACGCAACTAGCATAAGACAATTATGTGCGTTTAAATTAGTGACCACGCTGCCAAATATTTTCTTCGGGATGAAATATTTTATGTTAAAAATTTGACCTATCATTTTTTTTTGTCAAAATGGGTCCTTAAATAATGTCTTGTGCCTAAAAAAAATTGGACGGCAACTACGATTTCACGGTGTATATTACTAAAAACGTACATATTATAGACTAGATTTTACCCGCGATTTCATTCTCGTCTAAATTGAAAATCGTTGGTTTAGTGGGGTAGTACAGTACGCGACTGCAGTCCATGAGGCCTCGGGTTCGAGCTCGGGCCGGCAAAATAGAATAGGGTTTTTCCGGGAGGATTAATAGCCTAAGTTACTCTTTATATAGACAGCTACCTGGTAGTAAAATATTAACAAAATCGGTCCTCCCGTTTTGAAGATTACCCGGAACAAACAGACAGATAGACAGACAGACAAAAAAAACGCATAGGTATCGTACAAATAACCGTGTGAGAATAAAAAAAAAACGTTTATTTTGTCATTACAAACATACTCTTCCATTTGTATTTATTTGTATAGATAAAGTACACACAAACACAGGACAAATGAAAGTGTTCATCACACATTTATTTGTCCTGGCAGGGAATCGAACTTAAGATATCTGGCTCAGTAGTCAAGATCACTAACCGATTAAAAACAAAAAGGAGAAAAAAGACAGTTTTATGGTTTTATTTTTTTGAGGAACAATAATTAGCACGTTTTGTTTATTTAAACAAAATGTTCTCTTGACGAATCATTGATTAAAGAATAATATCTACAGCGCGTTACTTTAAAAAAACAATAGTGATTTGAAACAATCTTAAATAAAGAGGTTTTACACAACAATCAATAAAATACAATCTTAAATAATTTTATGATTTAAAGAAGTCGGTTAAACAGTTTGTTAGGCGGGTACACACTGAGCAGGCAAGCCGCATCAGCATTTGCCGCTCAAGGAAAATTTCAACTATTTTTTTTAATGTGTGGAAACCCCCTCGGGCAGCCGGGATCCCACCGGAGTTCAACCGACTAAAGCCACTCGGTGTGCCACTTTGCGGCTGTAAGGGAGGGATCTGGGAAGTGCTGTTATTAAGACATGCGGACTCCTCCGCGAGGGTGTTCGTTATGGCGGGTGGTGGGAAAAATCCGTCCCGTCGACCCGCCGCCGGTTTCGTTGGCGGCGAATTAAGTCCGAGTGGAGGTCATCCTCCCGAGTCAACAACTGTCACTACCGGCCATGGAGCGTATGACGGCCTGTAGCAAGAGATCCTCTCCAATGACTACAACGAGGAAACGACGCTGCGACGCCTAAGCCGGGCAAATTGCCAGTGTGTCCTGAGCCGAGTCCTTACTGCAATCGCAGTGGTGACAGGCGGGACTCAATTCCCTCCTAGCCACCGAGTGCAGGTACTTCCTGAAGCAGCCATGCCAGAAAGGACCTGCGTCAGTCGGAAGGAAAGTGTACCGTACTGTCGCCCTGCCCACTCGACGATGACCGGCTGGAGCGCCTCCATGGCGGCAAAACCGCACTCTTCGGGCACTCTTCGAGCGAAGGCCAACCGCCGCATTCAGCAATCGGTAAACTGCGGCGAACACCTCCGCCTCAAATCCCACGGGGGAGTATTGACCAACGTATGGCTCTACCCTGGGCGATGAGAGCCGCCACCCACACCGGAGCAACGTATGATGCCATCGACCGGACAACACCCGTGTAGCCGTCTTGTCACGCCGCTGGCTCCACCTAGATGCCCAGGCCATCTTTAGAGCAAACAGCCGGAAGTGCCACCTCCCGTCGAGGATCAGGCCCAAATACTTCATCAGGGCCTTAACCGTAACGAGGACCGAGTTGCGGAAATGTCTCGCGAGGCTGCTCGCTCTGTGTGCATCCGCCTAGTCACAAAAATGAGGGACGGGTGCCTTGAAATAGAGAAGCCCGTGATGGGATTCCTGAAAGATGCGAGACTTCAAAGTAACAATAATACTACAATGAAATAAAAGTATAATTCTAATAGGAAAACTAGGATGTATTCCTTATCATTCTAAGACGAAATGAAGCATATAGAACATTATACCGTACTCACAATTTAAATTAGCTTAAGAGTGCGTCGTGCCATATGCGAACATATCAAGGTGTTTCATAACGAAATTGAATGAAAGAAGATAAGATATAAAAGTTTTTGGTAAAAATCCGACCAATTAAGTGGTTTTATTCTTATTTTCTAAAGATCTTTAGTTAGATGCTTTTAGCTGTTGATAAAACACATTACATAGATACACGTCTAACTTATAGTGCAATAATACTTTTCATCAATTAGAAGATTATTTGTCAAAAGCACACAGATATTATTTTTTAAGGTATTTGTCTAGGTATTTTCATCAAATCTGAGGATCCTAGGGACATCACACCCATTCCTCCCCACACACAAATAACCTGACCAATGAATTATACACTTGTTCGAATACCGCAAGCAAACAGGTCATCAAGATAAAAATAATACATTCAACCGAGACAATGTATGTAGGCTCTATGTTCGACGATTACGACGATTCGACGACCTTTAGATAATGTTAAGTCATGTGTAAAGGATGTTACAGCAAGAAATGATCTAGTATTAGGAGTATTGGTAGACCTATACTTCGATAAAAAGACGAGCTCAACCGGAATCATGACACAGCCTCACAGAAAAACTGTTCTAATCAATTCTTTAGTTAGTGTTCACCATAGAGATATAAGCGTACGAGAGAGGTGGATGCCCGATAGTTCCCTCTGTCTCTGTTTAGCTAAGCTCCGATTGACTATCGTGAAGTGGGCATGGTTTTGATTTTAGAACATGTGGAAGATGAGAAATTTCCCCAGGCAACCATAGAGCTTGACTAGAAAGAGAACAAGATAACTATCTATTATCCATCTCTCTCGTCGCCTATTTTTTTTAAATTAAATGACTTAAATAAATGTACAACAAGGAAAAAAAAGTGAGTATTTATTAGTTTTTATTTCGTTAGTTTTTATTTAGTTATTATTTATTATATTACATACAAGTTTTTATTAGTTATAAACCTTCTGTAGTTGATACGTTAAAACTAATTTATAATAACTAATTTATAATTTAATTATTTCTAGTGTTTGTTGAATGTATATCACTATTTTTAGAATTTAATATTCTGCTTAACAATCATAATTATTGTAAATTTATACTGAGTACTGTACATGCATGAAAGTTTTTGACGTAAAGATACTAAACCTAATAAATATATATACAAGTAGTTGTACTTTTTAGATGAAGACCTGACTGCCTATTTTTATGGTGGCCGAAACGTCATACTGATAAAAAAAAAAGACGTGTGGCACTCGGGGACTGCCGCGGTAAAGCTATTGCATAGCATTTTGTATCAACTTATGCAATTATAATTATTTATTTATTTTATTTATGCAGTATTTCTTTTTCTTTGATATTAATTCAAGTTACACTTTTTGAGCGTGGTGACCGATAAGAAAACAATTTTTTTTCTTTTATTAAATAAAGATATTGAAGCATATATTACAATTTGTTTTTAAATAAATAAATAAAAAAATATTATTATTAAATCAAATTACATATCCATGTAAGATTTTTCTGCATTATGTAGACGAAATTTCCTTTGACGTTCAGCATTTGATTTTGGTACTGTTTTTTGTTTTGTTTTTAGCGTGAGGTTTTTTTTCGTTACGGAATTTCTGGATTCGGTCCCCGCTCTCAAGGCCCTCGATAGAAGCTATGCAATAGCTTAAAATACTTAGAAGCAATTTTCGACCTTACTAAAATATAAATTGAATACTGTGGAAGCTAACAATTGCCTATATATACTGAAAGATTGGGGCTCTTGTTCACTCTATGCCTATATCTTTATGATTTTCGCCTACTGAGTGTGGTTACCAGAGCCCCTGCTCATTAATTTGGAGCCACTCAAAATGTAGCCACGCACTTGTCTCTTGAGTTACAAGTGACCATGGGTGCCGATAATTGCTTACCATCAAGTGAACCTTATCCTCGTTTTGCCCCAATTCCATAAAAAACTGAGTAAAGAAAAACAAAACCTTTTGTTAACCAAAAATGTTTGACACATTAAATGACAAATTAAGATTATTCACACTCGTAATAGTTTCAAACATTATTATTTTATTAATGTAATTTCATTTGTTACATGTCAGTGCTCTCTCACACAAAGCATAAAATGTATCAGACAAGTTTTAAGTTTAAATTGTCAGTTTCAAAACAAGACTTACATTAAAAGTTATTTTAACATTGTTTATGTTTTTAGGTGTCTATAAAAACCAAAATATAAATACATTTTTATAACAACCTGTATATTAGTACATGAACGAAAACTACATATATCATGTGTAATTAAGGTGACATTATTCACTTCTTAGATAACATGGCAGAGACAAGTTGTCCATACACACTCGTAAACATGAAATTATTACTGGTTTTGTGTTTCTTTGCATTCGCCACGTTTTGCTTTGCTTATCCACAGCAACATTTGCCAGGTTGCATCTATATTGAAGAAAAATGTACGTATAAATTAATATTTTAATGTGTTACACTATATATATAGTCCATCAACGTCGTGCGCGACCGTCCTGCGGGGTGACAGACGGTGGCGGGGACGAGGTACTCAAGATGTCAGCGGGTAGCGGGGAACTGAATCGTGTGTAGCTTAGTGTGTAGCCGTGTGCTAGAATGACTCGTTATTTCGCCCCCGCCAATGTCTGTCACCCCGCGGGACGGTCGCGCACGAGATTGCCGGGTTATAATCGTTGATGTTTCTCTCCAGTGACTTCTTTAAACACTGGACGGACTTATGTACCGTAACTATCTCGCCCGTCGCCCTAACTGAGACCTAAGGTTAGCGTAACTCTCTCGCCCGTTTCCCTTTCCGAGACTTAAGGTCACTGAAACTCTCTTGCCCGTTTCCCAATCCGGGACTTAAGGTCACTGTAACTCTCTCGCCCGTTTCCCCATCCGAGACTTAAGGTCACCGAAACTCTCGCCCGTTGCCCTATCCGAGACTTAAGGTTACTGTAACTCTCTCACCCGTTTCCCCATCCGAGTCTTAAGCTTACAGCCCTATTTAATTTACTTATCCCGATTTACTTGCTATCTTTGTCCCTTCTGAAAACGATTATTTACACAAAAAACATGCGCGTCACCCAAGCAGCCGACTTTCAAAGGGTTTTGCACTGAAAATTAGTTTTGTTTTTGGACTCCCGCTTTAGTACAGAATCATGCTGAGTATGTACAACTGCGACAGTTATAAACAATTTACTTTTTTTTTCTTTTAAAAGGAAACCAACCAAAACCAAATTCTATTTGGCGTCTGCGCAATTGGTGACTTAAACCAATTGCGCAGACGCCAAATAGAATTTGGTTTTTGAAACGTACATTTATACATATTTAGGTACTAGCTGACCCGCGCAACTTCGTCTGCGTCTCTCAATAGTAATAAATTTTCTCCGTTTTTGAAACATTCTTCATTGGTGCTCCGCTCCTATTGGTCTTAGCGTGATGATATATAGCCTATAGCCTTCCTCGATAAATGGGCTATCTAACACTGAAAGAATTTTTCAAATCGGACCAGTAGTTCCTGAGATTAGCGCGTTCAAACAAACAAACAAACAAACAAACAAACAAACAAACTCTTCAGCTTTATAATATTAGTATAGATTTAGGACGGAGGTCATCGATACATCTAAATGTATCCTCATAAACTTTCGCCTTTATAATTTTAATTTTTATCAATAACATATGACAAATGCCTTCAAATAATACAATAAAACTTAGTAAAGATTTTCATGCTTCTAGGCTCTGAAGAATGCGAAGAAGGAACGCATGATTACACACCAGAATGTGGCCCTATAACGCCAGAAGCGACTTGTGACGAGCCACATCCTAAGACCGGTGATGGTGACGTTTGCGACTATTCTAGTTGCTACTGCGACTCCCCCACCGTCAGGGAAACAGTTAGCGGAAAATGTGTGAGACTTGACGAATGCCCTAAAAAATTGTCAAAACAAGAGTAGGCATTTATTTTTCCTCAAAATATTTATTACGTAATTATGTACTCATTTGCATTTCTCTTTTTTTATTTACATAATAGATTTGATTATAATTGAATTTGTAAAACTTGTAAAGTAAAACGAAGTTTATTAAAGTAAGTATAGTTTGTGGAATAAATTCTATCTCTACTTCTACTTCAAAAAATATAGTAACTTTATTACTTTTTCAGTTTTATTTATATGAAGTTTGTTAACAACATAATTATAAACTAACAAAAAAACACATTAATAAAAAGTAACCATATTATATTTAAAAAAAAAATGTTTTGCCTTTTATTTTATACGTTTCCACAAACTTTAATATTTAAAAATAATTCAAATTCTTTTATTGTAGTGATAAGCCTAAACAATCGACTCATAGGGAGTACTACACTAGATTACATGCATGTCTAGACTTAAGTGTATTCACTAAATTTGCTTCCATTTCATACATTTTAGGCTATTTTTAGCATCCCCGCCAGCAATCATTGCTGCCATGCTGGCGGGTGAGGAGGGCTGGGGCGCAGTGGTCTCTTTCTGTGAAGCTGTAATGTTCCAGAAAGAGACCGCTGAACGGGATCGGGAGAGGGCCGATCCCGAACGTAGAGGACGTTGGCGCCGATATCAGTCGTCGACGGGGCCGCGGGCCGCCAGAGGCTGGGGACCTCTGGTGGCAGATTAATTACTGCGGTAAGGGATGGAATGGCCGGCCTGATTGCATTAAGATGCGATCGGGCCGCCATGACGCGATTGAAGAGGGAAGTATTCTCCCCGGGGATAGGGCCTGATTAGGCATGGTGTCAATTCGGGGAGGACCTGAAATAACATGGTCCAGGTCCTCCCCAGAGTAGGACACCTAAGGCCGGCCGTCGGGGTGGTTTTTAGTGGAATCACCACATACTCCTGGCTCCTGAGTCCCCGAAAAGCAGGAGATCCAAAGGGATTTTCTACCCCGTCAACAAAAAAAAACCAAACAATTTAACGTAACATTTCTTATTTTTTTTTTCTACTAAAAACAATTTTTAACTTTAATTTGTCAGTTTCAAAATAAGACCAGTACGTTATTTTAAAGTGTTTGTTTTTAAGTGTATACAACAATCAAAATATAGATACAACTTTTTATAACAACCTGAATATTGGTATATGAACCAGAACTATATATGTATATATCATGTGTAATTAAGCTTATATTATTCGCTTCTCGGATAACCTAGCAGAAATAAGTTGACAGACTTGTAAACATGCAATTATTATTGGGCTTGTATCTCTCTCAGGAACATTTGCAAGGTTGCATCTATGTTTGGGCACGCCGTCATCGCGGCGGTAAGACCCGTTATGGATGATTGGCTCGAGAGGCGTCACGGGACCCTCTCATGCCGACTGACGCAGGTGATCACTGGGAAAGGATGTTTCGGGGATCACCTGTGTCTGATCCGCAAGGAGCCAACACCACCACTGCGATGGCCAGAATGTGGACACGGCTCTCCACACGCTGGCAGAGTGCCCGGCGTGGGTTGAGCAGAGGCGAGACCTCGTGGCGGCCATCGGAGTGGGAGTTCTCTCGCTCGATAGCCTGATTGCGGCTATCGTGCGGAGCGAGAGTGCGTGGAACTCTGCCGTCTCCTTCTGCGAGCAAGTCGGAGCGGGAGCGGGAGAGGTTTAGGACTCTCCCGGCCCCGGAACCGGCCAGGTACCGCAGGCGACTCAGGCGCCGGAGGTCGCAGAATGACATCCGTCCTCCATTAGCGCAGGCCTGGGGGTAACAGGTGAGGCCATCTGTCACCCTAGCAGAAGCAGGCCGGGGTGGCGGCGAGCGCGTTGCGAAGCGCGCTCGCTTCCAGGGAGCAGAGGGAACATGGGGTTCCCACACGGGGGGAGTCGTCTACCTGTTGTTGTAGATTGCCCGAGGTATGTCGGGGCACCAGGGACTTCCTTTCTAGGTTACCTGGTTCCCCGGTTATTGGTACCCGAGACAGCGTGCGGTTTTAGTCGGTTCGAGTCCGACATACCACCGATAGGTGGTATCCGAGGGGATTTTCGCACGGAAAAAAAAAAGGTTGCATCTATGTTGAATGAAAATGTACGTATAAATTAATATTGTATTGTATTACACTAATCGTTGATGTTTCTGTCCAGTGACTTCTTTAAACACTGGACGGACTTATGGCCATAACTCTCTCGCCCGTTGCCTTAACCGAGACTTACGGTCATCGTAAGTCTCTCGCTCGTTTCCCCATCCGAGACTTAAGGTTACCGTTACTCTCTCGCCCGTTTCCAAATTCGAGACTTAAGGTCATCGTAAGTCTCTCGCTCGTTTCCCCATCCAAGACTTAAGATTACTGCCCTATTTATTGTACTTTCCCCAATTTACTTGTTATGTTTGTGCCTTCTGAAAACGATGATATCCAAAAAAACATGCACGTCATGCAAACGGCCGACTTTTAAAGGGTTTTGCACTGAAAATCAGCTTTGTTTTAGGACTCCCGCCTTAGTACAGAATCATGCTGAGTATGTACAAGTGCCACAGTCATAAATAATTTACCTTTCTTTCTTTTAAAAAAAGAAACCAACCAAAATCGTTGCGCAGACCCATCGCGCAGACTCCAAATAGAATTTGGTTTTTGAAACTTACACGAATCCACTTAACAATAAGAAAATACGGACAGATCAATATGTAACTACGTGTTTATCTTAATCTACGTGTTTATATTATTAATAAGATATGATAATATTGGTCACGCACCTGTCACCTCCGTTTCTATTTTACGCAGGGGATGTGTTTCTTAGAGCAATATACATGATATAAGTCTTCCATACAATATCATCGTATTTTATTTATGACTATCTCTACCAGCGACCATATTCCCCGTTCGAGACTTCTGGTATTTCTTACCCTAAGTCCTTCGGCCTGTCCATTTTTCTTATCCAATTTATCAATATTTTTTTGTTTTGTGCAACTCAAGAGTAACAAGTTACCAACCCTTCTCCTCCCAAACCGGATGAGGAGGTTTGGGCTCCGGTCACCTCTTTCACTCGGTGAAAAGCAGCGTGTTGGAGCGCCTACGTCAAATGCGTTAGCAATGTTTTAACACTCATAGTGTAAGCTCGTTGTCATAATTGAATAATCTGCATCATATAATTTTTGTCATTTTGTAAGTTAATTATTAAAGCTCACAGCATACACTCCACACGTCTGCTGTTTATTTCGAGAATCCCTAAATTCCATTTGACTAAAAAAAAAAAAAAAAAAAACTAAACTATTGTATATGTACATGGTCCTATCGTACTGGATAATCGACAATCAGCTATATTGTTAAAGAAAATCAATTATACAGGAATATCAACTGAAGATAAAATTAGATAACAAAATATTCACGGGCGTCAACTACCGGTGAAGTGGTATATGAAAGTTAAAAGTTAAGTTAAGTTAGTTTTTGGTGTTAACTTTCATGCATTAGCTATGTCGTAACCCAGCACTCAATTCAAGAAATATAAGCGAACTGTGTCGAACATATTATCAGGTTAGTGTATTATTCTCAATTTTATGGTATCAATGAGTGTAGTTTCATCGCATAGGCATATACCGTACAGTTTATAGTAAATGTGAATAGTGTTTTTTAATCGTAATGAGTAGTAGTTGAGTTAAGTTGCAAATCATACTGTAATAGTTAATATTATGTTATTTCAATTTAATGGCACATGTAAATTGTTGAGTTAGAAAGTTTAGTGTAAAATTATTATTCACATATAAGTAGTTTTAGTAGTAAATTTGTTGTGTGTTAGACATTATTTGGTATGCAATAGTTAGCTATCGTTAACATTTTATAACCGCATAGGTATACTCTTTCTTTTCTGTTTGTTAATGTTTAGTGAGTCATTTTGTAGTTTGTACTTGTTAGCTTATTACCGTTACCGTTTATTTTCTTGTTAGGATTTAATGTAATTAGTCACTATATAGTTATATCTATTGTGTGTTTACGCTTTATTGTTGTAAGTTACAGGTTTAATTCACCCGTTCTGTCCGTGTGGTGACGGCTTAAGAATACAGTGTGTCACCACCCCTATTCATCCCGTGTCATTAGAGGCGACTAAGGGAGCAACCTACGCAGGTCAACAGCACTGCAGAGAGAAGGAATACTTGAAACAAACCCTATACCAACTCGTCTGGCCAGCGTGGTATAGTAGGCCAAAAACCTTATTTCTAAGGAGAAGCCTATGTCCAGCAGTGGACTATTAAAGGCTGTTGATGATGGTGATTAATTGTCCCGTTTCCCAGTATGGCCGAGGAAAGGGAGCTTGTAAAGAAGGGAGGGACCTTTAAAGGCCGTTTAACCGCATTCATCAATTATCCAGATGCCCTAACTGATCCTAAATCGATGAGTAGATGTGACGTAACGGAACTTTGGCTGATTGAGTCGTTGTACGAACAATATCATCATCAGCCTATCGCAGTCCATTGCTGGACATAGGCCTCTCCCATTGCACGCCACTTATTTTTTTGGGTTTCTCGCATCCAGCCCCTGCCAGCCATCTTGCGCAAATCGTCACTTCACCTGGCCTGTGGTCGTTCTACACTACGTTTGCCGAGACGCGGTCTCCACTCAAGAACTCGTTTTCCCCAACGGTAGTCACAAACGATATGATGAGGTACAATTAAAATTAGAGTGTATTGTCGATGAAATTAAATTACAATCATCTCAGTTTGAATCCCTGTACTAGAACTCACTTTCGAGGGCATAACATCTGTTAAGCAATTTAAATAGTGGTAAAAGTACCGGCTCTAGTTGTTATAAGGCAGTCACACATCAACAGCCTTTAATAGTCAACTGCTAGACATAGGCCTCTCCTCGGAAAGGAGGTTTTGGCATACTATACCACGCTGGCCAGACGGGTTGGTACAGGGTTTGTGTCAAGTTTTCCTTCTCTCTGCAGCGCTGGTGTTCTGCGTAGTTTTTTTCCCTTAGTCGTCTCTTACGACACCCACGGGATGAATAGGGGTGGTGACACCCCGTATTCTTAATCCGTCACCACACGGACAATACATACAATGCCTATAACAATCGAATCATTTAATCCTATGGCGCAACAATACCTTCACGAGTCTTATACACTCTAATGATAATATCAAGGACATAAATAAATTCCTCTATTTACGTACTTCTCTGGAAAGTTCCGCTCCTGTCGTCATACAATCTATCGAGTTTTCGGCATGTACTCATGCTATGGCATGTAAAATTTGGACATTCCTTCAATTCATACGCGTGATTTAATAAAAACGTTAGAGTTGTCGCGAAATAACTACACTAAGGTTTAGCCGAATATAAAGTTATGTCTATGGTGACTGTGCAATCTAGAATCATTACAATTACGAAGGTTTGTCCTAAATGGATAAATTATCGTGGGATGAACCATTATCTCCCGAAATTAATTCAGAAATGCTAGCCATTGTGACAAATTTGCCTTTTGTGAATGTCTTTATGATTCCACGTCTTGTCGTTTGTGAATCTTACACAGACTTAGAACTCCACATCTTCACAGACGCATCTGAACGTGCATACGGAGCTTGTGCCTATATATGTACGTAGCATATACGTACGTAGCCTATACTAGTGAGAGTGATTGTATGGTCCGATTATTGATGGCAAAGAATAGAGTTTTCAAACCAACCAAAATGCCTAAATTGGAGTTGTGTGGCGCTGTGGTGGGAGCTCGTCTTTGCGAGAAGGTTTTGTCTGCACGGATGGCGTAGTGGTTTAATTTATCGCTTTCTACTGCGGCGAGTGTTGTGGGTTCAAACCCCACATGGGACGACACTTTGTGTGATCCACAAATTGTTGTTCTGAGTCTGGGTGTTCTTTGTGTCCGTTTCATGTATGTTTGAAAAGACCCCCGCGACACAGGAATATACATATATTCCTAATGCGGGCATTGTAATTAAAAAAATAACTCATTAAGAGTAAAGTTTAGTCGCGTGTGTTGTTGGACTGATTCCACTGCAGTATTGGGGTGGTTACAGATTAATGTAAACTTCAGCCATTTGTACGCAATCGCGGTACTGAAAGTTTAGAACCGGCGGGTCACTGTACCTGGTGTCATGTCCCGAAGGATAAAAACCCAGCAGAACTTATGTCACCTGGCGTTGACATTTGAAATCTGCAGAATTTAGACTTGTGGTGGTCTTGTACTAGCTTTATACTACAAGACCTATGTAACTGGCCTTCTTTAGTCAAAGGTTCGGTCTCACACACTCTCCCTGAAACTCGACCCGAGGTGTCACTTGTTAGTGTTAACCATCACGATAATAAGCAGATTTTAGTCGCTTTTCCAATTAATCTCGCTTCTATGGCTTATGTGTTGCGATTCATTAAATTATGTCGAAAGCAATCATTAAGTTCTACCTTTCTATCAGACGATGAATTAAAAAGGGCTTTAGAAATTTTGATTATACAAGTATTCCTCCAGTATAAATCACTTTTATCACAACAAAGGTTACCTAAAAGGAGGGTCCTTTTAAAATTTAATGTCTATTTAGATAACGATAACATAATGCGTGTTGGAGGACGTCTCGACAATTTCGATTTTAGTTATAATAAGCGGCAACCTATTATATTACAGTCCACTCACAATTTCACAAAATTACTTTTTAATTATGAGCATAAGAAGTTAATGGACGCACCCCCAGAATTATTGTTGGCTTCAATCAGTTAGAGGGTCCTATTGGCCTATAAGAGGCCGAAATTTAGCTAAAGTCTGTTACCATAGGTGCGTACTTTGTCATCGAAAGCAGGGTAAGGTGTTTTCTTCATTGATGGGTAATTTGCCGTGGCATAGCCTTCTTCCAGGTGGTTTTCCTTTCGAAACCGCAGGCGTCGATTATGCCGGCCCTATTGTGTGTGCTAGTCGTCCAGGTCGCGGTTGTAGGCTCGTAAAGGTACACATTTCCATCTTCATTTATTTCACAACCAAGGCTATTCATTTGGAGCTTGCAGGTGTCTTGACTAGCAGCAGTAACTTAATATCTTTACATTTTAAAGTACGGAGAGGAAAGCCTATTTGTTGGTGCGTACAAAAAACTTTCAAAATTTTTAAAGGCTACTAGAGATTTCTTGGGTGCGAGTATGGCCAATGAGGGAAACTTTACTTTTATTCCTGCTTATACCCGTCACTTCGGCGGTTTTTGGGAAGCGGGTGTTAAATCTACCAAGTATCATTTACA